CTACCTGTAGACAAACACAGAAAAACGCACACAAACATCCATGCCCAAGTGGGATTCGAACCCACGATCCCGGCTTCCGAGGAGCGAAGACAGTACATGCCTTAGACCAGTCGGCTACCGTGACCGGCCCAGGGACAACTTTACCTTACCACATCCAACCTGACTACGGCCCAGGAGTTCCCTGTAACTCTTTCCTTGGGGGTAGAGTCGCCAGGCTGCGAAGCGGACCAATCTCCTATTTACTCTCGAAGTTATTTTCACGCGTTTAGGCGTCTTCTTATGAGTATCACGGTGGTTAATTAGGCGCAGAGAAAATTTTATTTTATGATAGATCTGAGAGTCCAATGGCGGTACTGTGTCATGGTACGTGGAAAATATAGTTTCCTAGAAATTTACGGATGTTTCGGAGGCACATAGACCAATGCATGCTACTTGATATTTTCTATCGCAGCTTATTTTTTGACCCCTTTAAATGGAGGCACTACAATCTTCCGAAACGTCAATAAAATTCTGCTTGAAGAATAGACAACACATCTCAGAAGACAGCACTCTTCATAACACTACTTCATGTCTCTGGCAGACTTTGGTAAGAAACGTCCTTTTGATGTTAGGTCCTCACTAGGCGCCTGAAAATTCTTGGGATTTGCGCTGAAGGAATCTGTGTACCAACTCCGTACGTGTAAGTTCAATCCTTCACAACTGTCATGCCCACAAAGTGTCTGTGAAGCAACTCTTGAGCATAGAAGCAGCATATTAATTCTAGGTTTGGGCCGCGCCATAGCTGAAGTGGTTAGTCGCTGGCTTCCCACTGCGGCGGCCCGGGTTCCATCCAGGGGTCTGGTCAAGTGGGATTTGTGGTGGACAAAGTGGCTCTGGGGCAGGTTTTCTCCGAGTAATGCGGTTTCCCCTGCCAATCTTCATTCCACCAATTACCCCACAATCACCCTTACCTATCATCTGGGGCTGGTACAATAGGCCAGAAGTGGCAGCAGTACAAGGGACTTAGTCCCACCCTACTAGCAATAAAAAAACTCTACGTCATGGGTTTTGCTGTTAACATTCTTCATTACAAACGTCGGTGCATGAGAAATATATTTCAATCCTGATGAGCTCTCTGTTATCAGTACATTATATAGTCCGTTGGAATTCAACAGACATTTAGGAGAAACACGTGGCCTTCACCTTTAAATAAAGGTAAAAATATCTTTGTAACAAGCCATTGAGGCCCATAGGGTTTGAGAAGTCGAGGTTCCCACATTTTCTCTAGACAATCGGCTCAAAGATGGCTGTAAAGTTTTCAGCCTTACGCGCCTGCTGCCCTTTACCCCTCAGGAATATTCCTTGTATTCATTTCTGTTAGAGGCTGAGTCGACCCCAGGGCTATAATGCGGCTTGAAGGATTAGGTAAATTGAAAATATCCACCTCATAAGGATTTGAACCCGCGACCTTCCAGCTTGTAGCATAGTGCCTCAACCTACTACGCTATCTCGTCCCCTTCACTTTCAGGTTTGGAAAATAAGTCAAAGAAGAAACCAGCATAAAACAAGCTGCAAGGAAAGCAAGTGATTTTTCTGTTAAGTCGTATTAAATTGCTGTGAAGGTGTAATTTTTAAAACATAAAAGAGGGACTACTTAACACTTTACTTAATCTAAGTTTCCTCAAAATTATTAAATCTCATATAAAATATTATAATAAAATATTTCTCGACCATCACTCTTTCTGAGGTTTGTCTAAGATTGCTACGTCTACAGAGCAGACCATTATCTTACCATCAAAATAATCTATCTCATTGTAGGGATCTGTTACTATGTGGAAAATGATGAAACTTAATTTGAACTGTTGAAATCGCGCTCCATTAAGATTTATATATTTATGAAGCCCAGTTCTGTAAATATTTGAAATCAGAGAATAAGCTTAGCTTTGATCAATCCAGACAGCCCGTTGAAACTTAAGCGGGCATTCATCTAGTCTAACTTATGACAATAAATTTCACGAGTTAGTCGCGAGACATGGGGTTTGGATTGATAATTGGATTCATTGAAGGGTTACAACTCGTAACTACAGATAAGTATAAAGCTTTCACTTATCTACACATCCTACAATCACTATTGCAGGCACTAAATATTCTATTTTTTCACTAGTCGTTGCTTGGTAGCGGCGTCTAACAATGAAACTCCAGACCCTGGACTTTGACTTCCGACTTCGGTGCCTCAAATACATATCCGTCATAAAATATTCGAGAACAAGACATTTATTATTATTCAATTAATCTAAGATATCCACCAAATTTTGCATGTAAATCTCGTGTCTCATATTTGTGAAGGTACATTCTGACTCGTAATACAGCACTGTAGTACTAAATAGTGGGTAATTAATGCTAGTGGGGTGGGACTAAGTCCCTTGTACTGCGGCAACTTCTGGCCTATTGTACCAGCCCCAGATGTCAGGTGAGGGTGAGTGTGGAGCAATTGGTGGAATGAAGATTGGCAGGGGAAACCGAAGTACTCGGAGAAAACCTGCCCCAGCGCCACTTTGTCCACCACAAATCCCACTTGACCAGACACGGGATCGAATCCGGGCCGCCGCAGTGGGAAGTCAGCGACTAACTGTTTGACCTAAATAGCGGGTAACCCATATTTTATGGAGCACGGTTAGGCGAAATCCGTAGTTCGAATGTCGATGCATGTTATTCTGATGAATATTTTCTTTCTCTGTCAACACCTCAAAATTAATTAGCATGTCATATACCACTGCATCGGGATAATTAGATTTTAATTACATATCAACAGTTATAGTAGGTCATAAAAATTGTTGTGATTTCATGCACGTGTAGATGTATATCTACTAACGGCTCATGAGCCTGTAGTGATATTGATAACACATCATATTAGGCCGACTCATAGTTCTAAAACGTGCGGAATTTTGTTTCTTATCTCACTTTTCTTCTAAAAAAATTATGACGATGCTTTTAAGGTCACCTTGCTGTCTGCCCGTGAATCCGCCTGTCTCTGTATACGTCTGTGTATCCTTTTTCATGAAACTTATGAGATCATCTTGCACTCTATTTGTCGCTGCTAGGTAACGGTCTGTGTATCTTCAAGCCTAAGTGTCCCTCCTAATATTTTTCTATTAGTTCGTCTAAGAACTTCTTCTTCGATTGTCTGTTTGTTGCCGAATGAGATTTGAGTAAACTGATAATGATTAATATGCACTAAATAAGTTTAAGAATTAAGTTAAGATGAACTTACAACACGGATGGGAGTAATGAGAAATACAAAATTTGGTCTGGAACTCTGAAAGGAAGAGACCACTTCGGAGACATAAGCCTAGTTCTTTGGTTGACCTTAACTAGGAGTACAAGGGGTGTGTGGGTGTACACTAGACTAATCAATGCATTCTCTCGAATGCAGTGATGAGATTCTTGTGAACACGTTAACAAACAGATAATGTAAAAGGTCGATAATTTATTGACTAGCTGAGCAACTGCTAGATTCGAAAGAAGAACTTGGCTCCATATATGTAAATAATAAATTTAAGAACTGGAAGAGAATGGAGATATCAAGCACGTGTGGACTGCTTACGTATTAGTTTTTTTTAGACATTTGTTTAAACCCATCCTCACACAGAAAAGTCTGCATAATATAATATAATATAATATTCAGTTATAATATAATGCCGGTCACGGCAGCCGAGCAGTCTAAGGCATGTACTGTCTTCGCTCGCTTGGAAACCGGGATCGTGGGTTTGAATCCCACTCAAGGCATGGATGTTTAGTTTGTGTGTGTGGGATTTTCTGTGTTTGTGTACAGGTAGAGGCCTTGCGACGAGCTGATCACCCGCCCAAGGAGTCCTACCGAATCCGTAAGGTCTAGAAAAACCGAAGCGAACGGAGAAGTTCATGGAGGTAGGCTTAGGCCCACTGAGGCTGTAGTGCCAAGGAAAGAAATCTCTCTTCACACCCAGACTTTCAACTCTATTGAACTGCAAATCAATAATTCTGATGTCTCAGTTTCTCAGTTCAGCTCCTCCGCTCCCAAGCTCATATCCTGGCGGGCGGGCGTCTCGAAACTCAACTGAACTAAACTATCTTCTTTGTCCTTTATATAACCCCTCAGCACGGAACGCACAGGAAACACAGCTGGTCTATTGTTGCGTGAATTTGTCTCCGCGGAAGCGTACTTACCCTACCGCTCTATAGCAAAGGCTCTATGCGTCACATCTCTCAGAGTGACAATTCATATATTTTTGCGTGCGGACGTTACCTAGCAGCGGCTCTTTCTCTGTCTCCACAGTTCTTGCATTGTGCAAACATGCCATAATTTTTTTAAAGTTTATATGTTGATAATAATTAATCTGTGTTTATTAATTTTCCAGTTAATGAAATTATTTCTATCCATCGTGACCAATCCACAGCGGAATTTCGAATTGATTTTCTACCTATAGAGATACAAATTTTGAATTTATTTATGGGGATTTTAGTCATAAGTACAGCATAGCTAGGAAAGATAATAACATGCCGGTAGCTAACTACGGTCATGGATAAGAAAGAATATTTCTTGTGAAGCAAACACTCGATATCATTCTCAAGATATTCATCACAAACTTTGGAATCTGAAAGTTTAGGAGTCTTACCATAATAAGAAGATTGTGGTCCCAATCCTGAGCCAGATGAGTGCAGTCGATGCTGTCGCATCGTATATCATAAGCGTTCATTTTTGTATTATCCTCCTTTCTGTGTTGTCTCTTTCGTTTTGTTTTTCCGACAAAAATTTTGTATACATTTGTCATTACGTTCATGCATGCTACATTCTCTCAACAACCCATCTTCATATGATCAAAATAATATTTAGTGAAGGTACAACTTTCTCATTACGAAACTTTCAGCAACCTCCTGTTACTTCCTACATCTTACGTTTAAATATATAAAAGCCTCTCATATCATGCTCGTATCTTAAGTTTTACAGAAGAAAATCTGATTTCATGTTTTTCTTTTTTCAGTTTCGATGATTGCTTCATACTGAGCCGGGAGATTTACACAGAAGGGGATATAAATAATCTATCTTTCCCAATACTAATAATTTCTTGCGTATGAAATGGTAGACGGAGTATAATGGACTCTACTAGCTACAGGATGTGTACGTTCAGAAAAGTGTGACCACATCGTCTGGTGGAAGTGAGTGAAAGAACTTCGTGAATAATGTAAACCCGTGCCTGTTTTACAGATGAGACATGGAGAAGTCTCAAGAAGAAAGCAAGAACATAACTTATTGCATTTGGTATGGTGCTGGGTGGTGACTGATACTGCAGTGACATGCCAATGTCGTGTGGAGTGTTAAAACGTGAAACGCAAGATACAAAATATGACGCGCTTTGGCTAGCAGAGAAAAGAGAGTGAATTGTGGAAACCGTGAAGAAAATGCAGCGCCTTGTCCTCACCTTACTGGCGTCGACCTTTGTCACCGGCGCTGCGTGGGAGGCGCAAGGTAAGACAGTAGTTCACAATACTCGTAAACACTATCAGATATGATTTGAAGGAAAGAGGGGGCAGTGTATATGCTAAAAGCACATGAGAGCTGTTGTACCAGAACTAAGTTGCGGCAGAAGGAAGAATCTGTGTGAACTATTAAAGAGCTCAGGCGTGACTCTTCTTAGGTTCGTGAGACACCCATTAAATTCTATATAGCCGAATTTAACCTGATGTTTTTAAGACCCTGGGATGTCATATGGCATCATAATTTATATTGTTACCTGTCCTCTTTTAATTAGGTCATTGGAAGGCCTAAATTATAACATAAAAATTACATTAATTTTCTAAATTTGAATAAGATATATTCGAGTATATTTACGGTATATATGAGATGAAGACTCAGTAAATAGGTCACAAATGGATATAAAACTTTAAACATGTTAAACATGAACCTGGGGAAAACATTTATTTCTCGACATATCCTCCAGAACTTCTCTCATCATTTGACCAGTGCGTTGAAACCCGCAGTATAGAAGTGTTTTGACTATTGTCTCAGCCACTACCGCACCTCCGTTTCAACGTCCTCCTAATCAGAGAAACATTTGCAATCAAGGCGGTTTTTTAGCGGACCAAACAGAAGGAAGTCACTAGGGGAAAAGTCCGGGCTGTAAGGAGGATATTCAAGAAGTTCTCGCTGCAATTCTTGAATTCTATCCTGGGTTGCTCGTGCTGTGTGGGCTCTGGCGTTGCCATGATGAAGCAGTACCCCTTCTGCGAATTGCATACTGAAGCTTCAACAGACCTTCTCCGTACGATGCAGAATTGACATTTTCACCACAGTTCTGAATATAGTCTAAAAGCACTCCATGAAAATTCCAAAACGCTGAAGCATAACCTTCACAGATTATGTCGTAACCTTAAACTTTCGGTTGAAGATTAACATGCAAATCTCCATTTCATTGAAGCACGCTTAAATTCGGCTTTGTACTGGTGCAGCCATGGTTCGTCCGCAGTAACAATACTGTTAAGCATATCATCCCATTCATCTGCATATCGTAAGAGATGTTGCAAAGACAGATCATTGGGTTCATTTTTCTCGATCCTTCAGTTCTCTGGGCACTCATCATGCCCACACTTTCCGATAGTTCAAACGGTCATTCATTATGCTGTATGCTAAACCATGGGAACACTCTAGTGCAGTTGCTACGCTGTCTATCGTAACCTCCTGTCAGCTCAAATCAACCCTGCCACCCGCTGCACAGTTGCGTCTGTCGAAATCTGAGCAGGGCGACTTGATCGAGCATCATCTGCGGCTCTCGAATATCCCTGAGAGAATTTCAAGAGGCAGTTGTAACCCGCTTTACACGCCAAACACTTTCCACCGTATACAAGAAACATTTATTTACGAATATCCTTTGCATTGAGTCCTTTTGCCTATAGAAAACGCACAGCTACTCTTCGGTAGTACACTCCTAAAGTACGGTCACCGTTTTGACTGCTGAAACGAGCCTCTGAACATGAGCATGCGTATCTGCTACCTTGAGTGTCAGGAAGCTGGACTGTGCTGCTACCTAGCGAAATACACAGAAAACCTACTACGTCCATTACAGCTGTCTTACTTCAATTGTGACCTGTTTACAGACTTTCCCTCGTATATATAGGCTTACGTATATTAGCGAAAGTACTTTATGAAAATGAAAACGAATAACTTATATTTCAAAATGTATTAATTGCTTTTCTAAGACTTTCATGTCTTCAAGGACATGAAAGTGAGTTCTTTCGTTACCCTTCATGTACGTAACTACAGATATGTGTATCTTGTAAGAATCTAGAAGTCTTTGGCTCTTATCGTAAAAAGGACTTCGGAAAATAAATGGCTAATATTTTTAAGTTAACTTGGTATTACGCCCGTAGCTCAAGCCACTTCTTTTCCAAAGACCTAAATGTGGCCATCACACAGTATCATTTCATAAGTCGTCAACTATTTACTTGATTCGTGTAACTTTATATTTCCGCAGCGGAACTGCAAACTAACTGAAATGTATTAGGAATAATACAGTTCGACAAGTTTTACTTCACGCACATATATTTCCGGGTGATTCATATATATTTCTGCGCCGTTTACGGAAACGGAAACAGAAATTTTCTCTTTCCCACAGTTACTGAATAATAGACGAATTAAGATTATCTAGGATTTACTACGTAATAGGGAAACAGAGGAGACTGGCACTTGCTCTGCTTTANGTTAACCGACGTTTCGGAGGAACGTATCGCCCCCATCTTCAGGGTAGAAGAAAAAGTATAAGAAATCTGCAAGCGACAACACCGTGAGAAACGGTAAAGCAGACTGCTTGTCTACACCACATCTACACGGTGCTAAATCCCAGAAGACTGCTTTCTTCATAGTCACCGCCGTGAAAGCCTCAAATCTTACAAGATTATCTAGGATTTACTTCGTAATAGGGAAACAGAGGAGACTGGCACTTGCTCTGCTTTGTAACGTTACTCGCGTCACTGTTTGCATTCATTTTTGGGAAATATCCACGTTGTGAAAATTCTCACACAGCTAGCAAGTTAAATTTCATTTTTCAGTAGCTCATGCGCTAAAATTTATGACCAGATGACGGGCGCGATATGATTCGTTCGGGGTTTATCCATGTACACAAAGACAATTTTCAAAATAATAGCGCGAAATACGTCACAGCTACTTGATTCCACCTCCCTCCTAGATCACCGATATTCGATATTATATTCGTATTATACTCTGCCGTTAAAGAGCAAATTATATTTGTAGTTCAGGCATTGTACACAGGGATTCTAAATACATAAATGTCGTTGTAAATATGTATGTTTCGCAGGGAGGTTTACTTTTGCAGTAACTGAGAGATTACCACCAATCAGCATAACATAATATATTGGGCTCATCTTCATGTTTGTGTTTAATACTTAGTGACGTCATTAAACTTTGTTTAACCTGCAAACAATATCAGAATAATCTATGAAACAAATAAAAGGTACGAATTATAAAATTTGATGTTGGATTAATGTTACTTGTTTAGTAGAATAGATAACGGAGCGTTAATTTCTAGCGGCAACATTTGAGGTGTCAGTGACTAGCTTCCAGCGGTATGGCTACGCTAGACTTGTTGTTACCGTCTATAAGCCACTGCATTGCGTTACTTAAGGCGTATACTAGCTGTATTTCGGAAACGAGAGTGCTTTGTCAGTAGTTAGTGACGTAGGCCTTTGCGTCATCCATAGAAACCCAGAATCCATTTCGAACATGCTTCCGATGTTTGTACGCTGGTGGCAAATATAAACGCACTTTGTAAGGTTTGAGGTTTTCACGGCGGTGACTATGAAGAAAGCAGTCTTCTGGGATGCAGCACCGTGTAGTTGTGGTGTAGACAAGCAGTCTGCTTGTACCGGTTCTCACGATCTATTCACTTGCGGATTTTCTTATTTTTCCTTCTATCCTGAAGATGGAGGCGATACGTTCCTCCGAAACGTCGGCTAACACCGCATCTACACGGTGCCACATCATAGAAGACTGCTTTCTTCATAAACGCACTTACACACAACCTTCAGCAATATTGCTCACTCCGTGGCCTTTAGTCTGCAAGCGAACTATACCGACCAAGCGACCGCTCAAGTAGCGTCGAATGATCAGACGACAGTTAATGATGAATTCAAAAGGAACTGGAACGAAGAGATAATGGAACACTTTAAGGGCGTATCATGACGTTTGGATGGAGGGACTGAGGAAGACCACTGAAAACATCCCGATCGAGAATAGAGTCGAGTACCTTCTGGATATATCAAAAGCGTAACCGCTTGAGCCAACTTGCTCTGTAGCAAGAGCGGGTATTTTTTTATTGCTAGTGGGGTGGGACCAAGCCCCTTGTACTGCGGCCACTTCTGGCCTACTGTTCCAGCCCCAGATAATAGGTGAGAGTGATTGTGGAGCAATTGGTGGAATGAAGATTGGCAGGGGAAACCGAAGTACTCGGAGAAAACCTGCCCCAGAGCCTCTTTGACCACCATAAATCCCACTCGACCAGACCCGGGATCGAACCCGGGCTGCCGCGGTGGGAAGCCAGCGACTAACCGCTTGAGCTATGGCGCGACCCAGCAAGAGCGGGTAGAAGATAAATTCAAATAAAAATTGTATCCAGGAAAACCTGAACTGTGAGTTCATTTTGAAAATTAATCTTAGATGGGATAGAGTTTAACATTGAAATATATTTTAAATAAATACCGTGTGAGGGTGCTGATTGTATTCAAGTGGCTAAGGACAGGATTGTTTTGTGTCTCGAAATTTCTATTTTTTTTTCTGTAAAATTTTCCAGTACTATTTTGACTTTCGGATTTTATAGAACTCCCTTCTTTAACGCATTTACAAACGTTTATCCTGAATTGGAACAGCTCGTTGCTTGAGGCCATTGGATCGTGAAAATTACAGAAAATATTTTCTGCTCTTAGTTTATGGCAAGTGACTGGGTGAGCGAAATTTTGTCGTTAACGGCCATAGAGGCTTTGACTACGAAATTCAGACACAAGTGTACTTATTTGACAAATTGAAAGGAACAAGGGGGGGGGGAATTGTGAGTCCCTCTCAATCCGTTGTCCGTTCCTTCAGATCCTTAGCTGTGTGGTCAGGGAATAATTGGTTTTGGTCATTCCTGTTATTCCTGCAAGCTTCTAGGGCCACGCCTTTCCCACACCAGCTGGTCGCTGTGCACCCCTTTATCGCGAAGGGAATTGAACAGATAAAGCGTAAGTTGCTTGTGTCAGAAGGAACGAAATCGGACTGATGAACGAAATCATTTTATAAACATCAGTCTCTAGGTCGTTTGGACTGTAAATAGGACCACCATGAATTCATCTATAAATGACGCATTATTACCAATAAAATCAGTAAATCACATACGTGGGTAATGGGGCAATCAGATACAATTATTTACCTAATGCTTTGGAGTCAGATTTAGGCATGTATCATTATGAATATCAGGTAAC